GCGCTCTGCGCTACGAACGCAACAACCTGAGTTCTACACTACAGGGTGTTTCAAGATGATGGACCCCATTTCAAAGCGGTATATTTCACGACGGCAACATGATACAATTACACACAAAGTTACAAACGGTTTAATGAGTTGTCAAGTTTTACGAACCATTTTATAAATGCTCTATGTGCGCCCTCCACCTGCTGTACGGACAACATCGAGACGATAGTTGAATTCGTCCCAAACGCCTCTCTTCTTCACGTTTCCCTCTGAGGTGCGTTTGCGCCCTGTGGTCTGCCCCTTACATAAACAGCAGCCCGTTTCCTCAAATCGTCGTTACCGACGATGAACGCTTTTTGCCATTGGCGGATCAAAGCCAAAACGCCGTTGAAACGCACACCGCACCACAATTACGGATTCAGTCTTGCCGAACTGCAGAACGCAAAACGCCCCTTGTGTTACAGGGTCACCGTCTTGTGAATGACTGAGGCTAGGGGCTGTTTGTGCGCTGGGAGAGGCATCTAGCGGTGATCATTTTAAACTCTATGCCCCGCCCTTTCAAGCGGTAAGAGTTTCATTCATGGGCGGTTCGTGGTTGCAGAGACACAGCGATTTCAAATCGGGTCAATTTTTTTCAAACACCCTGTATAACCCACGTTTTGTTTTACCACGTAAGGCCCACTGAGCTATGTAGCTCTTTTTCAGAAGCAACCTGGCTCGATAACAACACTTGCCCCTGCAGCCTGTTAAGGCTATATGGGGGATCTTTGTCTTGGAGATTATAATGGTATGAGGCCTCCTGATCTCCTGGTATCTTGATCTGATGTTGCGGTTGTGGTGGTGATGGTTGGTGGTGGGGGTGGTGATGATGATATTACAGGTGGTCTGATCTTTTGGTGTTTGAACCTGATCTGGTGCTGGTGGTTGTTGTGGAGATGATGGCTCCGTTGGTGATTGTGGACGTGATGCTACGGGGCCTGGTGTCGTGATCTGGCGGTGGGGGAATTGATGGCAGCGGTGGAGATGATGGTGGTGGAGATGGTGGTGGAGATGCCGATGATGGTGGAGATGGTGGTGGTGGTTGAAATATTGGTGGAGATGATGGCGGTGGTGAAGATGGTGGCGGTGGTGGTGGAGATAATGGCATTGGTGGAGATGATGGCGGTGGTGGTGGAGATGGTGGTGGTGGTGGAGATGATGGCGGTGGTGGAGATGGTGGTGGTGGAGATGATGGCGGTGGTGGAGATGGTGGCATTGGTGGAGATGATGGCGGTGGTGGTGGAGATGATGGCGGTGGTGGTGGAGATGGTGGCATTGGTGGAGGTGATGGCGGTGGAGATGATGGCGGTGGTGGTGGAGATGATGGCGGTGGTGGTGGAGATGATGGCGGTGGTGGTGGAGATGGTGGCGGTGGTGGAGATGGTGGCATTGGTGGAGATGATGGTGGTGATGGAGATGGTGGTGGTGGAGATGATGGTGGTGGTGGAGATGGTGGAGATGATGGTGGTGGAGATGGTGGTGGTGGAGTCGATGGCGGTGGTGGAGATGGTGGAGATGATGGTGGTGGAGATGATGGCGGTGGTTGAGATGGTGGAGATGGTGGTGGAGATGATGGAGATGGTGGAGATGGTGGTGGAGATAGTGCAGATGGTGGTGGAGATGATGGCGGTGGTGGAGATGGTGGAGATGATGGTGGTGGAGATGATGGCGGTGGTTGAGATGGTGGAGATGGTGGTGGTGGAGATGGTGGCACAGAGGGGGAGAGTCAAGATGGGAAGCGTAGAGGACCGAATGGGACAGAGTAGTAAGAGATTGTCCACTCAGCCTCAAATGATCACTTGGAACTGTTTAGCTGGGGAATGATGATTGCTGCCACGAAGATGGCAGGAAAACCCACCAGGAGTGAGGGGGAGAATTGAAGAGCGAGACTATGGGTAGGGATGGATACGTGGCAGAGTGAGAAGAGGAGGTTAAAGGAAGCAGGGATAGGGTCCAAGGGAGAGGGAGGTAGAGGATGGTGATCTTGTGTTGGTGGTTGTGGAGAAGGTCTAATGGTGGTCATGGTGATGATGGTGGTGGAGGTCGTGGTGGTAGTGGTGATGGTGATGGAGGTCGTGGTGATGGTGGTGGTAGTGGTGACCGTGGTGGTAGCGGTGACGGTGGTGACGGTGGTGGTAGTGGTGACGGTGGTGGTAGTGGTGACGGTGGTGGTAGTGGTGGCGGTGGTGGTGGTAGTGGTGACGGTGGTGGAGGTTGTGGGGGTGTAGTGGTGACTGGTGGTGGTTGTGGTGATGGTGGTGGAGGTTGTGGGTGTAGTGGTGACTGGTGGTGGTTGTGGTGATGGTGGTGGAGGTTGTGAGTGTAGTGGTGACTGTGGTGGTGGTTGTGGTGATGGTGGTGGAGGTTGTGGGTGTAGTGGTGACTGGTGGTGGTGGTTGTGGTGATGGTGGTGGAGGTTGTGGGTGTAGTGGTGACTGTGGTGGTGGTGGTGGTTGTGGTGATGGTGGTGGAGGTTGTGGGTGTAGTGGTGACTGTGGTGGTGGTGGTTGTGGTGATGATGGTGGAGGTTGTGGGTGTAGTGGTGACGGTGGTGGTTGTGGTGACGGTGGTGGAGGTTGTGGGTGTAGTGGTGACTGTGGTGGTGGTGGTTGTGGTGATGGTGGTGGTGTCTCCACATTTCCACCAGGCCCCCTTTTTCAAGCTCCCGTGCGCGTCAGTCTACCCGGGGAAGTTCGGCGCGAGTACGAAGAGCAGTACGAGAAGGTGCGGAGACGTGAGCTCACACACACACGCACACACGTACCACACACACGTACCACACACACACGTACCACACACACGTACCACACACACACACAAGTACCACACACACACGTACCACACACACACACACACACGTACCACACACACACACGTACCACACACACAAGTACCACACACACACACGTACCACACACACAAGTACCCTCGTACCACACACACACGTACCACACACACGTACCACACACACACACGTATCACACACACACGTACCACACACACAAGTACCACACACACACGTACCACTCGTACCACACACACGTACCACACACACGTACCACACACACACGTACCACACACACACACACGTACCACACACACACACGTACCACACACACAAGTACCACTCGTACCACACACTCGTACCACACACTCGTCCCACACACACACAAGTACCACATGCACGTCCCACACACACACGTACCACACACACAAGTACCACTCATACTACACACACACTCGTTCCACATGTACCACACACACACCACACACACACACACACGTACCACATGTACCACACACACACCACACACACACACGTACCACATACACCACACACACATACCACACACACACACTGGTACTACACACACACACACTCGTATCACACACACCACACACACACTCGTTCCACATACACCACACACACACACACCACACACACGTACCACACATACCACACACACGTACTACACGTACCGCATACACACACACACACACTGGTACCACACACACACACTTGTACCACACACATACTCGTACCACACACACACGTACCACACACACTCCTGTACCACACACCCACACTTCTACCACACATACCACACACACGTCCAACGCAATTCCCTCAATATTATAAGGCATCAATGTGGACTTTTCAAACGTGTTTTAACGACGACAGAAAGATGGACAATAACTCGATCTGGAATACAAAGAATTTTGACAAGATTTAGAATGGATTAACTGTGCCTTCGTTATGCACTGTTGTAACACTTTGCACAAGGACACGAATCAACGGTGGCGGATAATAATTTTCAAGTAAACCAAGTACAACCCACTCTTCAAATTCTCGGCGACATTAACGTCATTATATTATGAGACCTCCTTTGCCAGTAGCAAGATATAGTAATATCTGGCACCAAATCTGACACCTTTTGACGTCATCTGGTCCAACACCAGTGGAGACTAGGCTCTAAGAAAAGCCGTCTCGGGTGTGGACCAATCAAATTCAAGGACAGTCCCAATATCATTATCAGAGTTGTCTCTTTTTGTTTGAATTTTTGACTGCTTGTGTTGTGGTTATTGCAAACATGATCCCCTTGTATCAAGGTGTCAGTTTTAGTGCCAGCTAAAAGGGTAAAAACCTATAACGACATGAACATCGCGCGTCTGCACAGCGCCACCCCGCGCGCGTCAACGATTACAGAACACTCGAGTACAACCGGCCGTTCGTACCACCCCTCCAACGCATGCTCCAACTCTCAGGTGATGAAACGACGCAGCAGGGGGTCGCAGGGGGGGGGGGGTGCGTAACGGCAGTAGCTCCTGCAACAGTAGAGGCCGACCGAAACTGAATTCCTGGTTTCGGCCCGAAACCGGAACTGGACCGAGAGTAAAAAATGAACTTTCGGCACCGAAACCGAAACCGAATTTCGGTCGGCCTCTAATCCAACAGCTCTCTGGACGACTCGAAGCAGCGGCGGTCTCGGGATTTGGGTTTTGGCGCCATCGACAGCGCTGAGCAACTCAGCGCGACGGTGGTATCGCGACTTGGTTTAGCGCCATCAACAGCGCCCTGGACGACTCGAAGCAGCGGCGGTATCGGGATTTGGGTTTTGGCGCCATCGACAGCGCTGTGAAGGACTCGACACATCTCTGCAGCCTTGGCCACGGAGTCCACGCTCGCTCTGGACAGGCGCTCCGAGCGACTCCCGAGTCCCGGGACTTGGCTGGCGTCTCGAACAGCGCCCCGAACGAACAGCGCAGCCCAGCAGCAGCAGCAGCAGCAGCCGGTCTCCTCCAGGAGTCCCCTCGGTCGTGGTGAGCTTCGATCGTCCGGCCTTCCCCCTGGGCGAACACCACCGGCCGCCCCGGCGAACGCCGAATACACCGCAGCCGGAGAGCGGCGAAACACACCGCGCCCCCCCCCCCCCCCGCCCGGCGAACGCCCACCGCAGCAGCCGGCCCCCACTGCGGGAGCCCCCCCCCCACCCCGAGCCCCCCCCGAGCCCCGACGAACGCCGCACACGCCGCCGCCCCGTACACGGATAGCGCCCGCCTCTCTCTCTCTCTGCCTTCGCTTCGCTAGCAGCCAACCGGCTGCCTGTTTCTAGGTGGAATACCTCTGTTTCTCGTCCCTCAGCCCCTGTCTATCAACTTGACACGTGCAGAGAATCCTTCAATCGGAAGCTCCGTAAATTCGTTATATTGAGCCTGATTTTCATTGGCCTCGCCCGCCACCAATCGGGCACAGGCCCGTCGCCGACTGTCCCTGACCACACGCCAACTGGCCTGCTGCCCTGACTGGCCAATTCGTGTCCAGCCCCCAGTCAAGGCCAGACCGAGTGGCGCCGTTGCTTCCGCGGGTGGGGGTTTTGGGGGACAATTCCCCCATAACCGCTCACCCCCCGCCCCCCCATAACCGCTCACCTCCCCTTCACCTCGTGTAACCTCGGCCACTTTGGCTCACCGCGGCATGACAGCACTCGTGTGCGCCGTTACACTCCACCCCCCTCAAAACAGCCCCCCCACTCCACAGGGGGTTGTCCAGACCTGACGAGGCAGGATAGTCACGCATATGACACGTAGCACCCATCAATCACTTCCCCCCCCCCCCCCCCCCCCCGGTGAACTTCCCGGCAACGGGAAAAAGCGTCGGAGCCTCCGTAGGAATAGCCGCCGGAATGTCGCCCTCTTCCACCTCTGTTTAATTGACTCCTTTGCTCGCGCGACTTCAGCGAGAGGACCAAGGGAGTCATCCCTGCCGCCACGGAAGCCTCCAATCAAGTTTTCCATCTCTGTTTCCATCTCTCGCGCGTCCGCAGCCCATCAGGCCTCCTGCCCAGCGGTCGACATTTTGTGCGGGAAACTCGTTTTTGTTTTGTATCAACGTGGGAGATCGCGGATTTCGGATCCACTCATCCACACCGTTACAATGACACGTGCACGCGGTGCCGATTGCCGGACCGGTGCGGCATTCTGGAGCGGTTTTCCGGCGGTCGCCGGTTTGCGCCGGATCGGCCTGGGACCGCCGGACAATGTTGGAAGCCGGATAATCACGCGCAAGGTAATTCATGATTTACTGTATACATGTGTGTGTGTGTGTGCATGAGTGGCAAGCGGTTGTTGTTGTTGTTGTTGATCATGTGGCCACCAACCGCCCCCCTCGGCCGGCCTCCCGGCTGCAGCTGCAAGCGGAGCGTCTGGCCCAGGACGAGGAGGAGCGGCAGCTGTCGGAGCGCCTCATCGCCCAGCTGCTGGAGGAGGAGCAGCAGCAGGCGGCGGCGGCACGGGCGCAGCAGGAGGCCATAGACGGCGAGCTGGCTCGCAAGCTCAGCCTCGCCAAGGTCACACGCACGCACGCACGCACGCACGTGTTGCACACGCGGGCGTCACTGATACGTACATGTCACACGCGCGGGAATCACTGGCACACGTGACGCACGTGTCACGCACGTGTGGGTGTCACGAACACAAAGATCCCCTGTATAGCTTGAGCAGACTGTCCGGGGCAAGCGCCGTTAGCGAGCAGCACGTATGAAGGCCGGCACGGCACACGAGGGGGTGGGTGGCCAGCACCACGCCAGGATGCCTTTGTCTACCCAGTGGCGATGTTTACTACACCACCGCACCAGGTACGAATTTGAAGGCTGAGTCGACCTAGGAGAGGCCCAGCACCGGTTCAGATAATCGTCCCTGGTGTTAGCCGTGAGCGGGAATCGAACTTGTGTCGCCGAATGCCGTAGCGCAACGTAGCGCTAACCGCCACACCACCGCTCCCCACACACGTATAGACACACAGCGATAGAACCCACTCTTCGCAACGCGCGCCAAGCCCTGTACACCCTGCCGCCAACAACGATTGTGACATTAATCATCGCGGGGCCCCGAGCAGGTGTTTGGAAATTCCACATTACTGTGACAGGGCTCCGTCCATCCGTGCGTACTGACTGCCCCCCCCCCCACTACCCCTGCCCCCTGTGAAGGAGGAAGAGCCGGTGCAGATGTCATCGTGGTCCTCGATTAATCAGAAGTCGCGTCCGGCGAGCCGGAGTCCACGCACCCCGGCCCAGGAATCCAAATCCGTCTCCAAGGGCATAGAGAGGTCAGTGGCTGATGATGATGATGACGACGATGATGATGATGACGATGATGATGACGATGATGACGATGATGATGTCATTGCTGTGGTGGTAATGGAAATGGAAACATCATCATCATATAGGCAGTGATAAAAACATGATCTTGGCAATGGCGTCATCACATCATCGGCATGGTATCGACATGTTAATGACGTCATTATAATCTCAATGACATCATCAATGACATCATCATTGACATCATTGACATAATACCATGACATTGTTGACATCACGATGATATCTTAAATTCACCTGGCCCCAAATGATGGCTTTAACCAAGTGGGCTTATCACGTGGAACTTCATCGCAGCCAAATACTCTAAACACACGTTGATTCTAAATGTGGAAGGGAAAAACCGGAGGACCCGGAGAAAAATTAACGCGAACGCGGGGAGAGAGAGAGAGAGACACGCAAACTCCAAATATACAGCAGCAGCAGGGTCGTGATTGAACCCACGACCTCCTGCTTACCCGGCGAGGGAGCTAACATCTCGCTATTAGGGCGCCCCTCATAATACAGTGATAAAGAGAGAGGGGGGACGACTCAGAGAGAGATTGGGGACGTCTCAGAGAGAGATTGGGGACGACTCGGAGAGAGATAGACAGAGAGGAGCGAGGGGACGACTCAGAGAGATATAGACAGAGAGGAGAGAGGGAACGACTCGGAGAGAGAGAGAGAGGACGACTGAGAGCGATGTAACATCTCCGAGCCACTGTGGCACCCAATGACATCGTCGTCATCATCTCCTCTTCGTCCCCCCCCCACCCCCCTCGTCGCTCTGTCTCCCGCAGGTTCCTCTCTCCCGTCCGAACGCGACCAACGTCTCCATCGCCGTGCAACTGCGGAATCGGAGCGTCGCTGCAGCCTTGCACCAGCGGCACCACCAGCGCCGCCGCTGACAGCGGCGCGGGGAGGAGGGAGGACGACATTCGCCACCACCAGCTTCACCAGCAGCTCCCCCATGGTAGCACTCGCAGCAGCAATAACAGCAGGGAGGGTAGCGCTCGGCAGCAGCAGAACCTACTGTGCAGCAGCGGCAGCAACAGCAGGAGCAGCAGCAGCAGTGAGGGCGGCGCTCGGCAGCAGCAGCCGCAGCAGCAGCAGCAGGATCTTCTGTGTAGCAACAACAAAAGCAGCAGCAGCAACAACAACAACAGCAGCATCAGCAGAGAGTGCCGTATACAGCAGCAACAGCTCCTCCCGCACCGCAGCAACAGCAGCAACAGCAGCGGCGGCAGCAGCAGCAGCAGCAGCGGGGGCGACAGCATCACGCAGGAGCTGAACCACTTCAAGCCCATCGTGAGCTGCCCCCGCACGCCGCCCAAGCAGCTCCCGGACGGGCGCGTCCTCTCCCCCGCCCTCGTCAAAGCGACGCCCATCAAGCCCGCCGCCGCCGCCGCCACCGTAACCGCCTCGTCGTCCGCCTCCTCCTCTTCGTCGTCCTCCTCCTCCTCGTTGTCCTCGCTGCGAGTGGAGGCGCCGGCTGTGGAGCTGGTCGCGAGCGCGGGGCGGGCAAAGGGGCGGAGGCCGTGCCGGGCGCTGGCGGAGGGAGCCTGGACGTCGTCGCGACGAGCGGACGACGACGGAGGTGGCGGAGGAGGCGGTGGAGGTGACGGTTGTTACGAGGAGCAGGTCCTGCGGTCCAGGTGGCGTCGCATTGCCGAGGAGCGGGAGACGGTTGCCCGCGGCGATGACGGCAACGACGACGGTCGCCGCGGCGACAGCAACCACAACGATAACACCGGCGAGGATGCAGACGATGTTGATGTCGTTGACGATGGCGACGTTGCCGCCGCGGATGTTGGGGAAGACCTCGAGCTGGAGCTGCCGCCCTCGCTTTTCCGCTGGCCCACGGCGCCGAGCGGATCCTCCGCGACTAATAACGACGATGGCGGAGGAAGAGGCGAGCGGGGAGGATCTGGAAACTGCGTGACGACGCGCGATGCCCCGGGAGCCAAGCGGCACCTCCCCCCCTCCTCCTCATCGCCGTCGGCAAGAAAGACGAACGGTGGCGGCGGTCGCCCAGCAAACGATAGCCGCAAAGGCGATGAGGACGACTACGAAGACGACAACGTCTTTCTGATCAAGCAGGCGCCGGCGGGAAAGCGGGCCCGCCAATTGGACTCGGCGGTGCCCCCCGCCACCTTCACGGCGACCGCGGCTCCCGGCTCGCCCTCTTCGGCCCGGCGGGAGGAGTCGGCGGCGGCGGCAAACGTCGACGACTACGACGCCGACGTCCGCCACGGTGCCATCGCCTGGGCGAGGCGGCAGGGCCGGGAGGACGAGGAGCGTCTGGCGAGCCAGGAGGAGGAGGACCGGCGCCTCGCTCTGCGCCTGCAGAGGCGGCTCGACTTGGAGGCCAATATGGTCGACCGCAGCGCCGGCTCGGCCTACGCGTACGGCCTCCGGCGCCGACGCTCCTGCCTCGCGGGGGCGGCGGGGGCGGCGGCGGCTTCCGGCGGCGGACGAGGTCGGAGGTCGGGCGGCAGGCCGAGGAGACGTCGGCCGGCGGAGGCCGCCGGAGATGCGCGGGGGGCGAAGGGCAGCGCCGGCAGGAAGAGGGCGGCAGCGGCACCGTCGGCGTCGGCCGGGAAGGGCGGCGGAGGCCAGGGAAAGGTGGAGGGTGAGGGCAGCGGTGAGGGCAAGCGTCGGGACGGCATGTTGCAGGTGAAGATCAGCAGACTTTTCCAGAGGTGCCTGCCCAAGTCGAACGCGTCCTGCTGAGGATTGGCCGTGGAGGTTTGTCTGTCGATGTGGAATCTCGGCGGTCGGCCGTTTTTTTTTTAATCATCGATTTGTCGGTTTCAGAATAATCACCTTGGTGAGATTTGTAATCCGTCGCGTCGATTTGAAATTTTGTCGGTGGATTTTGGAATCCCGTCTGTGGACTTGGAATGAGGCTGTCGATGTTGAATCTCGTGTCGATTTGGAAACGATCAGATTTCGAATCGGTGTGTCGAATTGGAATCGAAAGCTAGATTCGGATGCGATCTGTCAGTCGGAAATGGTTTCGTCCGCTGCTTGGAACGGATGGATTGTGATGCTCGCGATGCGTGGGGGAGGAATGGACCGCTTGAGGGTTCCAGCGATGGACATGCCGAGGAGAGGCGGGGAGGGGGTGGCAGGGCGATGGGTGAGACTGGAGAAGTTTGGACGGTGTGCCCGGACAAACCGCGAGCCGGTACACGTGGGTCCGTGTGGCTGGAAAGTGCGGACGGGAACGCCGACCGAACGAGAAGGTGAATATACCAAAACGTGGCGACGGACGGAATCATTCCGCGTCCTCCGACGGCGGTGTGTGGACGGCCCACTCTCGCGTCGCCGTGCACACACAAACAAGACAAAGGTCCCCCATGTAGCCTTGACGGACTGTTGGGGCAAGTGCCGTCAGCGAGTAGCAGCGGGCCGGCACGGCACACGAGGGGGCGGGGTGGACAGAACTACGCCCGACCGCCTTTGTCTCCCCAGTGGCGATGCTTACCCATCCCACCGTACTCATTTGAGGCAGAGTCGACCGAGGGGAGGCCCACGACCGGTTCAGATGTAATCGCCGTTGGTGGACGTGAGCGGGAATTGAAAACTCGGGTCGGTGGGCTCGTAGCGCAGTGCGCAAAACGGCTTCGCCACCACTCCCCCACTCTTGTCACACGTGCGTACGCACGCCATATACCATGCACGGCACGTGAACGCCCACCTGTACATCCCCACGCATTCACGCATGAAAGGAGGGATACTTTTGGTAACGTCTCAGTAACCCACGTGCGTCAGTGTGTATAAACAGTGGGGAGCGGTGGTGCAGCGGTTAGCGCGCTGCGCTACGAACCCGGTGACCCGGGTTCGATTCCCGCTCACGGCCAACACCGGTGACGGTTATCCGAACCGGTCCTGGGGTCTCTCCTGTGGTCGACTCGGCCTCAAATGAGTACCTGGTGCGGTGCGTGAAAACATCGCCACTGGGAGAGACAAAGGCGGCCGGGGCGTGGTGCTGGCCACCCACCCCCTCGTGTACCGGGCCATCCTTCATAGGTGCTGCTCGCTTAACAGCACTTGCCCCTACAGCCCGTTAAGACTACACGGGGGATCGTTGTCATTGTATAAACTGTACGTACACACACGCACGCACGCGCACACATGCGCCCTCGTTTCACGCTTTCAAATGAAGTAGGTTGCTCCGTTGGTCTTGTGTGCAACGGTGGTGGTGGGGGGCTCACAATAATAACCACTGCTACTGAGAGTAGGGCCGCTTGTTTAGGGGACCCAACCCTGGAGGAAAACGTTGGAAATGCAGCCAAAGTGTCAATTGTCTAAAACCTTGGGAGACGGGGGGGAAAACTTTAAAACAAAAAAGAACCAGTTGCTAAAGGGGAACGCACTTCCCAAAAAAAACACGACAGTGTCCAGACTACGAGTGAAATACGCCGAAAGCCGAGCGCGTGTTGACATTGGGAGGAGGAGGCCGCATGGTTGCCTCGGAGGGCAGAGGTCGCTGCTGAGCCGCCCAAACGTGGGGGATCGCAAGAGTACTATCGCCGTAGATTGGTAGACGTTAATATTTTGTTTTTAAACGGGCAATTAATATTCTTGGGCGCGGGGATTTACTTTACATTTTTTCCCCCGCCCCCCTTCCCCCCCCTTCCCTCGCTCTCGCCCCCATCGGCTGTCGCGGCGGAATTCACGGTCCGGAAAACGATTGCACGCTCGTGCCGGTGCGTTTCAAAACTCCGCCCTGAGATCCACGGCGGGATGTTTTCGCGCGCTCCGACCCCCGGCGGATGGCGGGTCGTCGGCCCCCCCCCCCCCCCCCCCATCAATAGGCCACTGCTGCTGCTTGGCACAACGAGATCGTGGCGTGTTGCCAGGTTTCCTTCCCAAGCAAATGGACAGCGGTCCATGACGTGGATCGGGGAAACTTTCTTCCCGGAGGCAATCTCTTCCGCAGGAGGGGAGGGCGTCGGCCTGTTTGGGCCGCCGTGCGACGGCAAATGAACGTAGTATTCACTTGTCGCTGCCTGCCCCGTTCATCTCCATCGTTACCAACGACCGTCTTCTTCATCGTCGGCCACTGGCTAGTTGCGGGGACACGGTGGGGTGCGAGTCCGCCCAAAGTACCACCGGCCGATTGACTCGTTTTTATCGTCCCCGGAGAGAGGCGACGATAGCCCGTGTCGGCTTCGCCCCCCCCCCCCTCCCCCCCATGGCGGGCGCGCGCCGAAGATGCCGTGGGCGTCGCTGGGACGCGAGCGGTGAGCCCCCCGTCGCGTGTGCCGTGTGAAGCAGCATCGTGTGAAGCAGCGGCGTCATGTGAAGCAGCAGCATCATGTGAAGCAGCAGCATCATGTGAAGCGGCAGCATCATGTGAAGCAGCAGCAGCATCATGTGAAGCAGTGGCATCGTGTGAAGCAGTGGCATCGTGTTAAGCAGCGGCATCATGTGAAGCAGCAGCGGCATCATGTGAAGCAGCATCGTGTGAAGCAGCAGCGGCATCATGTGAAGCAGCAGCATCGTGTGAAGCAGCGGCGTCATGTGAAGCAGCATCATGTGAAGCAGCGGCATCATGTGAAGCAGCGGCATCGTGTGAAGCAGCGGCATCGTGTGAAGCAGCATCGTGTGAAGCAGCGGCATCGTGTGAAGCAGCAGCATCATGTGAAGCAGCATCATCATGTGAAGCAGCGGCATCATGTGAAGCAGCGGCATCATGTGAAGCAGCGGCATCATGTGAAGCAGCGGCATCATGTGAAGCAGCGGCATCATGTGAAGCAGCATCGTGTGAAGCAGCAGCATCGTGTGACGCAGCGGCATCGGGTGAAGCAGCGGCATCACGTGAAGCAGCGGTATCATGTGAAGCAGCGGCGTCATGTGAAGCAGCGGTATCATGTGAAGCAGCGGCGTCGTGTGAAGCAGCGGCATCACGTGAAGCAGCGGCGTCATGTGAAGCAGCGGCGTCGTGTGAAGCAGCGGCGTCATGTGAAGCAGCATCATCATGTGAAGCAGCGGCATCATGTGAAGCAGCGGCGTCATGTGAAGCAGCGGCATCATGTGAAGCAGCATCGTGTGAAGCAGCATCGTGTGAAGCAGCATCGTGTGAAGCAGCATCGTGTGAAGCAGCGGCATCGTGTGAAGCAGCAGAAGCATCACGTGAAGCGGCAGCAGCAGCAGCAGCGCCCTTGCTGCGTGATGATTGCCTTGTGTCAGATGGGAACCGCTGACACTGGAGGTGCTCCCCCCTCCCCCCCAGTCTAGACCACACAGCAGCAGCTCCTGTGAAACAACAGCGGCGTGCGTCTGCAGAAAGACAACGAGCTAGGGGGGAGGGACAGCTCCGGCACCTGATTCTTACTCTTCGTCAATTATTTTTGTATTCAAATGCAAAGGACGGGGTCGTGTGTCTTAACGACCCGGGTAATTACGGTTATTTCACCCACCATGCACTGGCCACTGGCAAGCCTGGCTTCGCCACTAAAGGGTGAGAAGAGCTTTAATACGGTTTTTCTTACGTAGATGAATGCAGGTATTGGCGTGTCACGGAGGAAAGGTTGTTGTAACGGCCTTTTGCGCGAAAGATCCTCGCCGAGTCTCGAGGCAGTGTTTGCAGGATGGGTCCTTGCCTGCATTGGAAAGTTTGGGCCAATTCGTGTATTATTATTATTGTTATGATGGTTTTTTTTTCTTTGTCAAATGCAAGTGCTTGGCTTCTCGTGGGAGGGAACCCACCACGATAGGTGGGTCGGGGGGGGGGGGGGGTAGGGGCAGGGCGGGGACCACACCCGGCAATATGGACGGGGTGCGTCAACCCGCACTGCCGCCCTGCCACCCCTGGACACCGTCCTCGGGACGCACGACCTCGAGTTCCGATTGAACCCCGGGGAGAGTGGCAGCAGTGGCAGCGCCGTGTCGGGACCGTGGAACGGCGCTGCCAACCCGGGACGACGCCATTGGTCCGTTCGCGATGTTGCGGGCGTGGCCGGGCCCTAGGGGTTGAGCCAACGAGGGCGAACATTCAGTTGCGAACTCGCGTCGCTGTTCACGACTTAAGCCCGGCCCGGTCGTTGGCCTAGGGGCCGGCACTGGCCTAGGGGTCGCCCAAAAAAGTTCGGAGGCACTAACCCAACTCGGGGTGGCACCTCTTGGTTTTTTTTATTCCTTCGCTCCCACGAGGCAACGGAGCCGTGCCAGAGCCAGCCCGGCGTGGCTCGGGAGGCGCCGGATTACTTTTTCCACTGCCGAGCCCCGCCCCTGATGACGCTGGTGGGTGACGCGGGGACACCACGTGCTCGCCGCGTACCGACTGACGTCAAGCACGTGTGGTTGATGCGTCGTTAGCCCCGCCCCTGGCCCTGCTTAGCCCCCCCCCCCAAGCCAGATTCGGATGTGCTGCGAGGCCAGCAGCACATCGGCATTTCGTCCTGGCTCGGTTCTTCAAACAGTCCCCATGGACAAATAAAAAAACACCACCCGTACCCGTGCCGTGCTGGAAAAGCGTTGGCTCGGCTCACACGTGATGGTCATGAAGTTGGCAGTCCGTGGAGTCTCGGTATTGGTCGCCTCCCCAACAGCCCATGTGGTCTCTGGCTTATTGAAAACTCTGTGATCCACCAAACTTTGTGTGTCCAGACTCCCTTTACCAATGTTACCAGAACGTCTGTAATGTTACTAAAGGGTAATGTTAATAAAGGATCTTGTTACTGTAGCATCGACTGATTTTCATTGTCGTGTGAAAGTGAATTGCATGCAGTCTCTCACCTCTCAAGCTACTCCCCTCCACACACTCTCCTACCTCTCCCCTCTCATCTCACTCTACTCCCCCCCCCCCATTCACTCTCCTGCCTCTCCCCTCTCATCTCAATCTACTCCCCCCCCCCACTCTCCTACCTCTCCCCTCTCATCTCACTCCACTCCACCCACTCTCCTGCCTCTCCCCTCTCATCTCACTCTACTCCCCTCCACGCACTCTCCTCCCCTCTCATCTCACTCTACTCCCCCCCCCCCCCTCACTCACTCTCCCACCTCTCCCCCTCTCATCTCACTCCCCCCCCCCATCACTCTCTTACCTTTCCCCTGTGGGAGCCGCCCTCTCCTCGCAGCCACCCGCGGCTGAGCGGTCCCAAGTCGCCCACGTGAAGTCTCCCCCCGTCCCAAGTCGCCCACCTGAAGTCTCCCCCCCCCGTCTCAAGTCACCCGCCTGAAGTCTCCCCCCGTCCCAAGTCGCCCGCCTGAAGTCTCCCCCCGTCCCAAGTCGCCCACCTGAAGTCTCCCCCCGTCCCAAGTCACCCGCCTGAAGTCTCCCCCCGTCCCAAGTCGCCCACCTTAAGTCTCCCCCCATCCCCCAAACTCAGCGCTCGTCATCACATCGCGTGGGAGACGCAAAGTCGAACTCGTCGAAAGTAAAGTTTCATTCGGCATCTGCATCGCTACAAATTCCGTAGCAAGCGTCACGTTCGGGGGGGGGGGGGGTCCGTGGAGGCGTGGACCCCACAGCATTCTCTACCCCAGCGCCGGAGGGAGGAGATGGTTCATCGTCGTGGCTGCGTTGAACGATTAATCGATCTCAAATCGAAATCGCAACGTGAAACAATGCGATTTGCAATTGGCAAAAGGCTGCGACTTTTTGTTGCGATTTTAAAAGTCCTATTACTTATCGGAACTGTTTTATTTCTTATTATAACTTGTATTTATTTAACGTAACGATTTGTTCTTTGTTTCGATTGCTCCATTTCAAATGAAAACATTTTAATAAATGCATCTTGGAAGCAATTAATATCTTTTAAGTTTTCATCCTTGCATTAGAATCTATAGAGCAGTTTATATTGTTGATGGTATCACGTGGTAATGCTCCATCACGTGTTCTGAATCTATTACACACTGAAGCTTGAACCGAAGCTTGACTTAGAATTTTAATCGCAATATCCTGTCAGAAAAATCGCAATTTGGGCGGTCCATAAATGACGTCACGCACCTGGGGGGGGGGGGGGTGGGGTCAGACATTTGTGACGATGTGTGACGAGGGGCGTTTGAGAAATGTGACGTCACATCAAAATGCGCAACTTTAAATAAATATAGACAACACGTTCTGCTTAATTACCCACAACATCAGAGTGCAGCGCCACATTAATCACATTCTCCTGCGGAGGGAGCTGGTCGGAACGTTGGATTGCTGGGTCAATGGCCAGGGTCAACGGCGGCACCACGTGGTGTATTCCGCACAATATGCCCGACTGTGAGGGCGGGCACAAGCCGGCGTGAGTAGGTTAAACGTTGAGTTTTATAAGGGCACCACGGGGTGACCAGCCCCTCTCCACCCAGCCCCACCCCTCCCATTTTATCAGGGTGTCCGGATACACGTGGACAGACATCCCCAGACATACACAATTAATCCCCTGCCTCCTGTGAGAATTAATCCCGGTTGGGCTTCCAGTCCACTACGTTTCCTACCAGTAATACGCACTACAATGACAATAGTTTAAAGCGATTTGAAGCATGATTTATATATTGTTTGGGGGGGGGGGGGAGGGCAGAGCTTTGTGACGTCATATTTGAGGGGGGGGGGGTCTGACTTTTTGTGACGCCGCATGACGAGGACGAGGGGGGTCAAAAATCGTCCGAAATCGCGTGACGTCATTTATGGACGGCCCCATTAGACGTTTTCCCCAAATCGTTCTTCCCCGGTTGAGTTCCGGCGTGTCCGGGACGTCGCTGTTGGCGGTCAATGCGGGCCAAGGCCGTAGCCATTGGGGGGGGGGGGGGGTGTGTCCACCCCCCCCCCCCCCCCCAATATATACAGGTAGTCCCCAACTTACGATGGTCCGACTTACGACATTTTCGACTTACGATGGGGTCGTCGAACGCATCTCCATCGTAAGTCGGGGACTACCTGATCGTAAGTCGGGGACTACCTGGATATAGTAGCAGCGTCTCCGTCGTAAGTCGGGGACTACCTGAATACTGGTAGGAACCTCCTGGTTACACCACCAGCCCACAGGGGATTATTGTGTCCGTCCGTCCGCCGTGCATCCAAACATGGGAGGGGTGGGGCTGGGTGGGGAGGGAGGGGCTGGGTGGGGGGAGGGGCTGGGAGGGGAGGGGCTGGGTGGGGGGTGGGAGGGGAGGGGCTGGGTGGGGGGTGGGGAGGGTGAGGCTGGGTGGGGAGGGGCTGGTCACCCCGTGGTGCCCTTATAAAACTCAACGTTTCACCAACTCACGCCAGGCTTGTGCCCGCCCTCACAGTCGGGCATATTGTGCGGAACACACCACGTGGTGCCGCCGCCGTTGTCGTCGACCCTGGCCATTGACCGAGCAGCCCGACGTTCCTACCAGCCCCCTCCGCAGGAGAATGCGCTACACAAGTTACAATTACGGCCTTCGATGCGGGGCACTGCACGACGATCCGCGTCGACGCAGCAGCAGCAGCAGCAGCTCCTCCCATTGTGGGCCTGTTTGGCGAACCTCTCGCTCACGTGCCACCAGAAGATATCATCCGCGGTGTGCTCCTTGGGTCGCAGGGGGGAGCCGAGGCCGAATCGTGGAATCCGATCATCTTTGCCATTTCCGAGCCAGCGGCCATACCCACGTCACGTGAGTGGAGCATTCGCAAACAAAACAAAAAATCGATTATTTACAATGTCTGCAATAAGCACCCGCGTATCATGGTTTGTGTCAATCAGCTGCCCAGTGTCGTTCATGGACCCCTAAGACAAAGATCCCCCGTGTAGCCTTTGCAGACCGTTGGGGCAAGTGCTGTTAGCGAGCAGCACCTGTGGAGGCCGGCACGGCATCACGAGGGTGGCCAGCACCACCACGCCCGGCCGCCTTTGTCTCCCCAGTGGCAATGTTCACACGTCGCACCAGGTACTCATTTGAGGCCGAGTCGACCTAGGGGAGGCCCAAGGCCGGTTCAGGTAATCGTCACTGGTGTTGGTCGTGAGCGGGAGTGCGTAGTGCAGCGCGCTAACCATTCTGCCACCATTCCCCCCCACACACGCGTGCGTATATAATGTAACATATAATGTAACATATAATACAACCATGATTTGGTCTGTATATATGTCTCAATAAACAAATTTGCGTAAAAATGTTTTATATACACATTAATTTAATATACATATAAAATACTCCGATATGGTGCTGTATTCATTCAATGCTTATACAAGGTAAAGGCTCAGTCCCGCATTCGCCAGCTCACGTCACCGCTAGCAGAATCGGCCCGTCTCGACGGATGAGCATTGCAAGAGATGTCAGTACCCACACTTTACCCCACCACCACCACCACTATACCGCATGTGACGAACCTGCCCACACTGCACCATGGTGAACACATTTTTGTGGTGGTAGTGGTGGTCGTGGTGATGGTCGTGGGTGTTGGTGGTGGTGGTGTTGGTGGAGTGATGTGGTACAGGAGGACGTGGAGCTGAGTGGACTTGCCGATGACTGGTACCAGCGGTGTCAAGATCGGCCTCTGTGGAGGAGGCTCATGAAGGACGCCGCTAATGGGCAGTTGGAGGTAGTCGCCCTCCAACAACAACCGACGGCGGAGGAGCGACGCTCACAACAACGAGCGGAGCGCCGGGTGGCTAAAGGTACAGCAGGTTGGCACAGTAGGGGGCACAGGTGGTGCATCAGCCAGTCATCTCAGCCAGTCGACCCGTGGCACCTGGGTCTGCCCCGTGACCTCCTGCCAGCGGGCGTTCGACACTTCACGTGGCCTCAAGGTGCACATGACCTGGCACAAGCGTCGTGGTGACGTCACCACCACTTCGTGGCGAATGCCGGTTGTTGTTGGTGTTGGTGGTCTTTGTGGTGGTCGTGGTGGTGGTCATGGTGTTGGTCTTTGTGGTGGTCGTGTGTGTTGGTGGTGGTAGTGTTGGTGGTCTTGGTGGTAGTAGTTGTGTTAGTGGTGGTCGTGGTAGTGGTATTGGTGGTCTTGGTGGTGGTCGTGGTGGTGTTTGTGGTCTTGGTTGTTGGTGGTGCTGGTCGTGTTTTGGTGGTGGTCATGGTGGTCGTGGTGGTCGTGGTGGTCGTAGTTGTGGTAGTTGTGGTGTTGGTGGTCGTTATTGTCGGTTGTGGTGGCCGTGGTTTGGTGGTGGTGGATGTCTACTGGACATCTGTGGAAAAAAAAGGGGCTCCATCGCTGATCGGATTCCCCCAGTATAAATAAACAATTTGATTCAGGTGGTGGTGGAGTGGGTTGGGATTCCCAGAAACCTGCCCGCAAATTCAACTGCAGGACGAACAGCGAGAGGGCTTTGCACTGTTAGTGCCGCACCACCCGATAGTTATTTATTTCCCCCCCCCACTGCCCCCCCAAAAATTCAATTTCCATTTGCCGCCATCGGCGTCCAATAGGGGGCGCTCACAGCGAGCAGAGGACGGCCCCGCGGAAGCGGAAATAACAGAGCTACCCCCGAGATCCCCGTCCATCTCCCAGTGACGCTCTGGTACAGACAGAGTGGCCCGCGTAAGCGGAAATAGCAGAGCTACCCCCGAGATCCCCTTCTTCTTTAATTGGCGGCCTCATCCACACGCGATGGTCCGCGAGAGCGGATGTCGCAAGAGCTACCTCTGAGGATGCCGTCCTCTTTACGTCGTCAGCTCTGGTCCACACGCACACGCGCACGCACGCACACACGCACACACGCACACACGCACACACGCAAATATCCCCCGTATAGCCTGTACCAGACTGTACCAGACTGTAGGGGCAAGTGCTGTTAGCGAGCACCTATGAAGGCCGGAACGGTACACGAAGGGGTGGGTGGCCAGCACCACGCCCGACCGCCTTTGTCTCCCCAGTGGCAATGTTTTTATCCACCGCACTAGGTACTCATTCGAGGCTGAGTCGACCTAAGGGAGGCCCGGGACCGGTTCAGATAATCGTCACTGGTGTTGGCCGTGAGCGGGAATCGAACCCGGGTCGCCAGGTTCATAGCGCAGCACGCTAACCGCTACACTATCGCTCCCCACACACACGCACGTACACACACGCACGTACACACACGCACGTACACACACGCACGTACACACACGCACGCGCGCGCACGCACACACACGCACGCATGCACGCACGCGCACGCACACACACACACATACGCAGGAGGGGGCAGCACTTGCCCACTCCTTTGCCCTGCCACCGAGGAATGTCACGCTCATTGCGTGCCGGTCAAACCGAAACTTGAATTTGTCAACGACAAAAAAGTTCGCAAACCCAGCGGGAATTTCGCGACTTTGCGTGCAAAATGGAACTCGATGAGATCAGCGTGTTCTTGGGAAGAAATTGGTGACCAGGCTGAAACCAGAGAGTGCGTGGAGGGGAGTGGAGTGAGATGAGAGGGGAGAGGTAGGAGAGTGAGGGGAATGAGATGACAGGGGAGGGGTAGGAGAGTGCGTGGAGGGGAGTGAGATGAGAGGTGGGAGAGTGCGTGGAGGGGAGTGGAGTGAGATGAGAGGGGAGAGGCAGGAGAGTGAGAGAGTCCATGAAGGTGGTGATCGTGAATTTGTCCCGGGTCTTTGGTTTCGGGTGACCCCCCCCTCTCCCACGGTGTGGGGAGTCAGCAGCAGCATCAGCAGCAGCAGCAGCAGGAGGAGGAGGAGGGAGCGAAGCCTCATCCCGGTCGCCACGCCGACGGACCCGCGTTGGCCTCGGCCAGCGAGCAGTAGTCCGTGGCCGTGGCGAGCACCCCGGCCCCCGCGGTAACGCCGACCACGGCGGCAGCGGACGGAGGAGGAGGAGGAGGAGGGGGGACAGCCGTGACGATGGAGGGGATGAGCGGCTGTCGGGCGGCCCGCGAGGATTGGCACTCGGAGAGGATCTCCACGCTGGAGAAGAACTCCTCCGGCACGCGGCACGTGGGGGCCTGGCACGAGACGCAGGCCGTGTGGTCGGAATGTCGTCGCGGTGGTCGGGAGATGTTGACGACTCAGAGAGGACGACTCAGAGAGAGGACGACTCAGAGAGAGAGGACGACTCAGAGAGAGGACGACTCAGAGAGAGGACGACTCAGAGAGAGGACGACTCAGAGAGAGAGAGGATGACTCAGAGAGAGAGAGGACGACTCAGAGAGAGGACGACTCAGAGAGAGAGGACGACTCAGAGAGGACGACTCAGAGAGAGGACGACTCAGAGAGAGAGAGAGGACGACTCAGAGAAAGAGAGGACGACTCAGAGAAAGGACGACTCAGAGAGGACGACTCAGAGAGAGAGGAGGACTCAGAGAGAGAGAGGACGACTCAGAGAGAGAGAACGACTCAGAGAGAGAGAGGATGACTCAGAGAGAGAGAGAGGACGACTCAGAGAGAGAGAGGCCGACTCAGAGAGAGAGAGAGAACGACTGAGAGAGAGAGGACGACTCAGAGAGAGGACGACTCCGATAGAGAGTGGACGACTCATAGAGAGAGGACGACTCAGAGAGAGGACGTCTCAGAGAGAGGACGACTCAGAGAGAGAGAGAGGACGACTCAGAGAGAGAGGACGACTCAGAGAGAGGACGACTCAGAGAGAGGACGACTCAGAGAGAGAGGACGACTCAGTGAGAGAGAGGACGACTCAGAGAGAGAGAGGACGACTCAGAGAGAGGACGACTCAGAGAGAGAGGACGACTCAGAGAGAGAGAGAGAGGACGACTCAGAGAGAGAGAGGACGACTCAGAGAGAGAGAGAGGACGACTCAGAGAGAGGACGACTCAGAGAGAGGACGACTCAGAGAGAGGACGACTCAGAGAGAGAGACAGAGAGGACGACTCAGAGAGAGGACGACTCAGAGAGAGGACGACTCAGAGAGAGGACGACTCAGAGAGAGAGAGGACGACTCAGAGAGAGAGGACGACTCAGAGAGAGGACGACTCAGAGAGAGAGGACGACTCAGAGAGAGAGAGGACGACTCGGAGAGAGAGAGAGGACGACTCAGAGAGAGGACGACTCAGAGAGAGAGGACGACTCAGAGAGAGAGGACGACTCAGAGAGAGAGAGAGGACGACTCAGAGAGAGGACGACTCAGAGAGAGGACGACTCAGAGAGAGAGACAGAGAGGACGACTCAGAGAGAGAGGACGACTCAGAGAGAGGACGACTCAGAGAGAGAGAGGACGACTCAGAGAGAGAGAGAGGACGACTCAGAGAGAGAGGACGACTCAGAGAGAAGACGACTCAGAGAGAGAGAAGACGACTCAGAGAGAGAGAGGGCGACTCAGAGCGACAGGACGACTCAGAGAGAGGACGACTCAGAGAGAGAGGACGACTCAGAGAGAGAGAGGACGACTCAGAGAGAGAGGACGACTCAGAGAGAGAGAGAGGGCGACTCAGAGAGAGAGAGAGGACGACTCAGAGAGAGGACGACTCAGAGAGAGGACGACTCAGAGAGAGACTCTGAGAGAGAGACAGAGAGGACGACTCAGAGAGAGAGGACGACTCAGAGAAAGGACGACTCAGAGAGAGGACGACTCATAGAGAGGACGACTCAGAGAGAGGACGACTCAGAGAGGACGACTCAGAGAGAGAGGACGACTCAGAGAAAGACTCAGAGACAGAGAGAGGACGACTCAGAGAGAGGACGACTCAGAGAGAGGACGACTCAGAGAGAGACTCAGAGAGGACGACTCAGAGAGAGAGAGGACGACTCAGAGAGAGGACGACTCAGAGAGAGGACGACTCAGAGAGAGGACGACTCAGAGAGAGAGAGACTCAGAGAGAGAGAGACTCAGAGAGAGAGAGAGAGACTCAGAGAGAGAGAGAGAGACTCAGAGAGAGAGAGACTCAGAGAGAGAGAGAACGACTCAGAGAGAGGACGACTCAGAGAGAGGACGACTCAGAGAGAGGACGACTCAGAGAGAGGACGACTCACCTGTGCGATCTGCTCCTTGGCGAACTTGAAGTCGTGGAGGAGGTCGCTGGGCCCAGGGATTTGAGGCCACACGTGGGCCTTGACCATCCTGTGCGACCAGGACGCGCACACACAGACAAAGGTCCCCCGTGTAGCCTTAACAGACTGCCGGGGCAAGTGCTGCGAGTAGCAGCGCCTACAAAGGCCGGCACAGCGCACGAGGGGGTGGGGGGGGGGGCAGCACCGCGACCCGGCCGCCTTTGTCTCCCCAGTGGCGATGGTTTACTGTGCACCAGGTACTCATTTGAGGCCGAGTCGACCTAGAGGGAAGCGCTGGCCACGAGCGGGAATCGAACTCGGTCCGTCGGGTTCGTAGCGCAGCGCGCTGTTTACTCAGGCGCCGTGCGTGTCGTAGCGTGCACCTAGCCTGGCACAAGCGCCGTGACGATGTCACCGCTCTTCCCGTGTGTGTGGAGGAGGAGCTGTACCCCCAGTATCAGCCAGGAGAAGGTGGTGTAGCAGAGTGTGTGGACTAATCTCCATCTGTTACACACTCCCTAACCCTGTGGGTGGGCGACTGGTGAGAAGGAGTGTGGGTGGTGACGAGGTGTGTGGGTGGTGACGAGGTGTGTGGGTGGTGACGAGGTGTGTGGGTGATGACGAGGTGTGTGGTTGATGATGAGGTGTGTGGGTGGTGACGAGGTGTGTGGGTGGTGACGAGGAGTGTGGGTGATGACGAGGTGTGTGGTTGATGACGAGGTGTGTGGTTGATGACGAGCTGTGTGGGTGATGACGAGGTTTGTGGTTGGTGACGAGGTGTGTGGGTGATGACGAGGTTTGTGGTTGGTGACGAGGTGTGTGGGTGATGATGAGGTTTGTGGTTGATGACGAGCTGTGTGGTTGATGACGAGGTGTGTGGTTGATGACGAGGTGTATGGTTGATGACGAGGTTTGTGGTTGGTCACGAGGTGTGTGGGTGATGACGAGCTGTGTGGGTAGTGACGAGGTGAGGTGTACCATCCGTATTTGACGGCGATGCACATGATGACGAAGGCGATGATGGCAGGAGCAATGAGCGCGGCCGCGACGAGGAGATCCTTCCCCTCCTTATCCTCGTCCCTCCGCGCTGTTCACCCACACAAAGACAAAGGTCCCCCGTGTAGCCTTGCCGGACTGCTGGGGCAAGTGCGGTCGGCGAGGGGGCGGAGTGGGGGTGGGGGGAGGGTTCCGGCACCACGCCACGGCCGCCTTTGTCCCATACTGGGGGCGCGTGTGGTGCAAAGAGCTTCCTAGCTCTTCGGATTTCTTTGCTGCTCCCGCATCAGACTCCAGGAGTCTCGAGGGCTGTAGGCCTCTCGCCACCGGGCGCCACGGTGGCTAGGAGATGTTGACTACCTCGCCCGGTCTGCAGGAGGTCGTGGGTTCGATCCCGACCCTGACGCCTGCTGTATATTTGGAGTTTGCGTGTCTCTCTCTCATCATCATCATCATCACGGTGGCTAGGAGATGTTAACTACCTCGCCTGGTATGCAGGAGGTCGTGGGTTCGATCTCGACCCTGACGCCTGCTGCTGTATATTTGGAGTTTGCGTGTCTCTCTCTCATCATCATCATCACGGTGGCTAGGAGATGTTAACTACCTCGTCTGGTATGCAGGAGGTCGTGGGTTCGATCTCGACCCTGACGCCTGCTGCTGTATAATTGGAGTTTGCGTGTCTCTCTCTCTCCCCTTGGCGCAGATGGATTTTTCTCCAGGACCTTCGGCGTTTCCCTCCCACATTATTAATCAACGTCACACCTCCAGAGTATGTAGCTGCTATCACCATCACCACTCTCATCACCACTGTCATCACCACTGTCACCACCATCACCAGTCTCATCAACATCACCACTCTCAACACCACTGTCACCACCAACACCATTATCAATACCACCACCACTATCACCATCACCACTCTCATCACCATCACCACTCTCATCACCACCACCATCATCACCACTCTCATCACCACCACCACTATCACCACCACCATCACCTTCACCACCACCATCACCACCACCACCACTACCAACACTATCACCTCCACCATCATCACCACTCTCATCACCATCACCACCACCACCACTATCACCATCACCACCATCACCATCACCACCACCACCATCACCACCACCATCACCACCACCACTACTATCACCACCACCACTACCATCACCACCACCATCACCACCACCACTATCACCACTATCATCACAATCACCACCACCACCACCATCACCACCACCATCACCACCATCACCACCACCACTATGACCACCACCACCACTATCACCACCACCACTATCACCACCACCACCACCACCACTATCACCACCACCACTATGACCACCACCACTATGACCACCACCACCACCACTATGACCACCACCACCACTATTACCACCACCACCATCACCACCACCACCACCACTATCACCACCACCACTATCACCACCACCACTATGACCACCACCACCACCATCACCACCACCACCATCACCACCATCACCACTACCATCACCACCACCATCACCACTACTATCACCACCACCACCACCACCACCTCCACCACCACCACCATCACCTGGGAGCACGAGGTGCTGCCACTCACTGCTGTGATCCCAGGTAATCTTGTTGTCCCAGCTGTCACACAGCCGGGCCTGCACCGCGATGGTGTGGACTTTCTCATTGTCCACGAATGCCCTGGGCTCCTTCCTCTCGATGCAAACCTACAGGACGATGAAGAGGAGGACGAGGTGAGCTTCATCTTCAACATCCATACATACCCTTAGGTTCTTCGGGTAAAGTCACGTAGGTAGGAAAGTAAATAACAGATCACGAGGTTTCGATCGCGACGAGGAGCGATCCTCAGGCCTCTGTGACGAGGCATTATATATTAAACACTCGATTGTGTATCCATTATACTGAGTGGGAACCTCCTGGTTACTACACCACCACCAGCCCATAGGGGATTATTGTGTCCGTCCGTCCGTCGTGCATCCAAAAATGGGAGGGGTGGGGCTGGGTGGGGAGGGTGGGGAGGGAGGGGCTGGATGGGGGGTGGGAGGGGAGGGGCTGGGTGGGGAGGGGCTCCTCACCCCGTGGTGCCCTTATAAAACTCAACGTTTCACCTACTCACGCCGGCTTGTGCCCGCCCTCACAGTCGGGCATATTGTGCTGAACACACCACGTGGTGGTGCCGCCGTTGTTGTTGACCTTGGCCATTGACCGAGCAACCCGACGTTCCTACTACCAGCTCCCTCCGCAGGATAATGTGTTAGAGTGTTTTGAGTGAGATCACATGAACATGAATGCGCATCTCAATGGACCGTTTTTGCCAAGATCAAACCTTTATCATGGTACCAAAGAAACAAGGCACAGTAGAACCTTGGATTGCGAGTACCTTGGTCTGCGAGTGTTTTGCAAGACGAGCAAACGTTTAAAATAAATATTAATTTGATAAACGAGCGAGGGTCTTGCAATACGAGTAGTACGTACAGTATACGCTTTGTTTGCCGAGCGTCACGTGATCACAACTGAGCCAATGGTTCTTCTCTCTCTCTCTCGCTGGGGGATTGTGGGTAATCATCTCCCAAGCTCGGTCTCAGTCGGCGTGCCTCACTCGTATAGTCAACATCCGTGCGAGCGTATACTGTTTACTATAGTACTATAGTGTTGTGACCACGTGTATACTGTTTACTATAGTACTATAGTGTTGTGACCACGTGTATACTGTTTTCTACAGTACTATAGTGTTGTGACCACGTGTATACTGTTTACTATAGTACTATAGTGTTGTGACCACGTGTATACTGTTTACTATAGTACTATAGTGTTGTGACCACGTGTATACTGTTTGCTATAGTACTATAGTGTTGTGACCACGTGTATACTGTTTACTACAGTACTATAGTGTTGTGACCACGTGTATACTGTTTACTACAGTACTATAGTGTTGTGACCACGTGTATACTGTTTACTACAGTACTATAGTGTTGTGACCACGTGTATACTGTTTACTATAGTACTATAGTGTTGTGACCACTGTTTACTCTAGTACTATAGTGTTGTGACCACGTGTATACTGTTTACTATAGTACTATAGTGTTGTGACCACGTGTATACTGTTTACTACAGTACTATAGTGTTGTGACCACGTGTATACTGTTTACTACAGTACTATAGTATTGTGACCACGTGTATACTGTTTACTACAGTACTATAGTGTTGTGACCACGTGTATACTGTTTACTATAGTACTATAGTGTTGTGACCACTGTTTACTCTAGTACTATAGTGTTGTGACCACGTGTATACTGTTTACTATAGTACTATAGTGTTGTGACCACGTGTATACTGTTTACTATAGTACTATAGTGTTGTGACCACGTGTATACTGTTTACTATAGTACTATAGTGTTGTGACCACGTGTATACTGTTTACTACAGTACTATAGTGTTGTGACCACGTGTATACTGTTTACTACAGTACTATAGTGTTGTGGCCACGTGTATACTGTTTACTATAGTACTATAGTGTTGTGACCACGTGTATACTGTTTACTACAGTACTATAGTGTTGTAACCACGTGTATCCTGTTTACTATAGTACTATAGTGTTGTGACCACGTGTATACTGTTTACTATAGTTCTATAGTGTTGTGACCACGTGTATACTGTTTACTATAGTACTATAGTGTTGTGACCACGTGTATACTGTTTACTATAGTACTATAGTGTTGTGACCACTGTTTACTCTAGTACTATAGTGTTGTGACCACGTGTATACTGTTTACTATAGTACTATGGTGTTGTGACCACGTGTATACTGTTTACTACAGTACTATAGTGTTGTGACCACGTGTATACTGTTTACTACAGTACTATAGTGTTGTGACCACGTGTATACTGTTTACTACAGTACTATAGTGTTGTGACCACGTGTATACTGTTTACTATAGTACTATAGTGTTGTGACCACGTGTATACTGTTTACTACAGTACTATAGTGTTGTGACCACGTGTATAATGTTTACTACAGTACTGTAGCCAGAACAACTTAGAGCTAAATGCTCTAAAGACAGTTGAGATGGTTGTGGACTTCAGGAAGAATACAGCCCCACTCACCCCCATCACCCTGTTAGACTCCCCAGTCAAAACTGTAGAGTCCTTCCGCTTCCTGGACACTATTCTCTCCCGGGACCTCAAGTGGGAACTGAACATCAGCTCCCTCACACCAAAAGAGCTCAACAGAGGATGCACTTCCTACGGCAGCTGAAGAAATTCAACCTGCCAAAGACAATGATGGTGCACTTCTATACAGCGATCATTGAATCCATCCTCACCTCCTCCATAACCGTCTGGTACGCTGCTGCCACTGCCAAGAGCAGACTGCAGCGTATCATCCACACTGCTGAGAAGGTGATTGCCTGCAATCTACCAACCCTAGAGGACCTGCACACGACAAGGACCATGAGGCGAGCGAGGAAGATTATGGCCGATTTCTCCCACCCTGGACACTCTCTGTTCCGGCTACTCCACTCCGGCAGAAGGCTGCGGTCCATCAGGACCAAAACTTCACGCCATAAAGACAGTTTCTTCCCATCTGCTGCTGGCCTCTTCAACAAGGCCAAGGGCTTACACTGACTTTGACATTTTATCTACAAAATTACACCTTGCCATATTTGCACTATGTTACCCTATTTGTATTTTTAGATTGTATCTTATAGCTACTTTATATTCAATATTTATTCAAAATTTTACATACTTTAGCCCTTTAGTGTTAGTTAGACTCTGTAACTTTTATATAGTTAGACTTGTATATCACTTATTTTAGATTTAAGATTACTATATGTTGAATGTATGCACCTTCCTGCCAAAGTAAAATTCCTTGTCTCTGCGAACTTTCATGGCGAATAAAACCCTTTCTGATTGTGACTACGTGTGTACTGTTTACTATAGTACTATAGTGTTGTGACCACGTGTATACTGTTTACTGCAGTACTATAGTGTTGTGACCACGTGTATACTGTTTACTATAGTACTATAGTGTTGTGACCACGTGTATACTGTTTACTACAGTACTGTATAGTGTTGTGACCACGTGTATACTGTTTACTACAGTACTATAGTGTTGTAACCACGTGTATACTGTTTACTACAGTACTATAGTGTTGTGACCACGTGTATACTGTTTACTACAGTACTATAGTGTTGTGACCACGTGTATACTGTTTACTACAGTACTATAGTGTTGTGACCACGTGTATACTGTTTACTACAGTACTATAGTGTTGTGACCACGTGTATACTGTTTACTACAGTACTATAGTGTTGTGACCACGTGTGTGTGCATAAAGCATTTTTATTTTATTTTGTGTCCAAGTGTAGTGACTGTTCTTTAGTAACTGTACTGCAAGTGAAAGTCGTCCTAGACAATAACCCTCCTCCTCTCTCTCGTCTACCTCACACCAGAGACGATTAAATGTAATTAATAAATTAGATTACTTTATATTACATTTAAATAATAAAAATATTAAAATATATTTTGTATTAATCATTTTTATATGAATACAGCATTTTTGGGCTGTAGAACGAATCATCTGAGTTTCCATGATTTCGCTTTGATATACACTACTATACACTACTATACACTATACACTACACTACTGTACACTATACACTACTATACACTATACTATACACTACTATACACTACTGTATGCTACACTACTATACACTACACACTACTATATACTATACACTATACTACTATACACTACTGTACACTATACACTACTGTACACTATACACTACACTACTATGCACTACACTACTAAACACTAAACTACTATACACTGCACTACTATACACAACACTATACACTACTATACACTACACTACTAAACACTAAACTACTATACACTACACTACTATACACAACACTACTATACACTAAACAATAAACTAATACACTATACAGTACTACACTACTACACTACACTGCTATACACAACACTACACTATACACTACTACACTATACACTACACTATACACTACTACACTATACACTACTACACTACACTATACACTACTACACTATACACTATTACACTACACTATACACTACTACACTATACACTACTATAAACAGACTCTAGCTCTTCCTGGAGAATTCCACCGTGTTCCCGGCAGCATCTGCTGGCCCGGACCAGGGGGTCCACAGTTACCCATTATGGATAACACTGGTAGCAGGAAACGTAGTGGACTGGAAGCCCAACCGGGATTAATTCACAGGAGGCAGGGGATTCATTGTGTATGTCTGTGGATGTCTGTCCACGTGGGAGGGGTGGGGCTGGGTGGAGAGGGGCTGGGTGGGGAGGGGAGGGAGGGGCTGGGTGGGGATGGGCTGGGTGGGGAGGGGCTGGGTGGGGGGCGGGGGAGGGGGCTGGGTGGGGAGGGGCTGGGTGGGTGGTGGGAGGGGTGGGGCTGGGTGGGGGGTGGGAGGGGCTGGGTGGGGGGTGGGAGGGGTGGGGAGGGGTGGGGAGGGGCTGGTCACCCCGTGGTGCCCTTATAAAACTCAACGTTTCACCTACTCACGCCGGCTTGTGCCCGCCCTCACAGTCGGGCATATTGTGCGGGACACACCACGTGGTGCCGCTGTTGACCCTGGCCATTGACCGAGCAGCCCGACGTTCCTACTACCAGCCCCCTCCGCAGGAGAATGTGTTATTGGCCGTGAAAGCCCACGCGTTAAACTGCACGGATTTATACATCGCAGCAGTAGCAGCAGCAGCAGCCTTAATCCAAGGCGCTTGATGCAATGAACAACTGCATCTCTGCGGCTGAACGTTGCATCCCTCCACCCGGCGACACTCAACCTACAAGCAAGCACGTTGTTGTGACATGTGGAAAGTCGTAACGGGGCTGCATTCCAGCCGCTCCTGTTCCCTGCACGCAGCAGCAGCAGCAGCAGCGATTTCGTCATTGGCCTAGGACCTGTTCAGATGTTCGTCACCATGTTGATTTACTATAACGCCCCTGGTCACGATGATGATGCTGATGATGATGCTGATTATGGCTGCTGCTAATGATGCTTGCTGCTGGTGATGGCAGTAATGACAGTGATGATGGCACCGCTGATGATGATGCTGCTGATGAAGGTGATGTTGATAACGGCTGCTGAAGATGGTGCTAATGATGCTGATGATGGTGCTGATAATAATGGTGCTGATGATAATGATGGTGCTGATGATGATGATGGTGCTGACGATGATGTTACTGATAATGATGATGCTGCTGATTATTATGGTGCTGATGATGATGGTGCTAATGATTATGGTGCTGATGGTGCAAATGATGATCGTGATTATGATGGTGCTGCTGATGGCGCTGCTAATGATGACGGTGCTGACGATGATGTTGCTGATGATGGTGATGCTGCTGATGATGACGGTGCTGATTACGGTGCTGATGTTGGTGATGCTGCTGATGATTGTGGTGCTGATGATGATGGTGATGATGATGGTGGTGGTGCTGACGATGACGGTAGTGCTGACGATGACGGTGGTGCTGACGATGATGGTGGTGCTGGCGACGATGTTGCTGATGATGGTGATGCTGCTGATGATGACGGTGCTGATGATGATGGTGGTGCTGACGATGACGGTGCTGATGATGATGGTGATGGTGCTGACGATGATGTTGCTGATGATGGTGACGGTGCTGATGATTATGATGCTGATGGTGCAAATGATGATCGTGATTATGATGGTGCTGCTGATGGCGCTGCTGATGATGACGGTGCTGACGATGATGTTGCTGATGATGGTGATGCTGCTGATGATGACGGTGCTGATTACGGTGCTGATTACGGTGCTGATGATGGTGATGCTGCTGATGATTGTGGTGCTGATGATGATGGTGATGATGATGGTGGTGGTGCTGATGATGATGGTGCTGGCGACGATGTTGCTGATGATGGTGATGCTGCTGATGATGACGGTGCTGATGATGATGGTGGTGCTGATGATGATGGTGGTGCTGACGATGACGGTGCTGATGATGATGGTGATGGTGCTGACGACGATGTTGCTGATGACGGTGACGGTGCTGACGATGACGGTGATGGTGGTGCCGACGTTGATGGTGGTGCTGACGATGCTATTATTCTCACCGTGTCCACGTTGTCCGTCATGCACACGTTGTACATGAGGCTACTAGGTGGTCTCGAGCTGGACTGCAGGTCGGGAACTTCCCAACTCACCACGACCTCTCCATGGCTGTCAATCGCCAGGGAGAGATTCCCAGGCTTCGGGGCTTGGACTGGGATACAAAGGCGGACGGGGGTGGTGGGAGGCGGGGGGGGGGGGATGACATTAGGGGTGCCGCTGAGACCCACGTACACACACACAGAGTGAGCGGGGGGTGAGTTGGTGGTCTCAGTCTGGTCACCGGTGACTCGCGACAAGTCACTGGCGGTGGCCAGGAGATGTTGACTACCTCGCCTGATGTACGGGAGGTCGTGGGTTCCATTCCGACCCTGTCGATGCTTGCTGCAAATATGCAGTTTGCGCGTCTCTCTCTCTCTCATCAACAACATCATCATCATCATCATCACGGTGGCTGTGAGATGTTAACTCCATCGCCTGGGATGCAGGAGGTCGTGTTGGTGGTGGTGGTGGGGGGAGGAGGAGGGGTGAACTTGGTCTGTGTGCCCGTACCTAGTTTTCTCGCCGGCAGCGTGCGGTAGACGGGTCGCACCCTCGTGTCCGGGCTGCTGATGAGCACGGCGAGGCCAAGGCAAAGCTGCACCGGCTCGCTCAGGGGGAAGGAAGCTCGCAGGAGGCCGGAGCCATTCCCGGAGGGCCCCGCGGAGGATTCCCGGACGACGGCGCCCTCCCTCATCTCGCTCCACTTGCTGTGGCCGGTGAGCCTGGGGAGGGGGGGGGGGAGGGAGAGGAGTGAGTGGGGAGTGAGTGAGTGAGTGAGGAGTGAGTGGGGAGTGAGTGAGTGAGGAATGAGTGAGGAGTGAGTGAGGAGTGAGTGAGTGATTAGGTGGGTGAGTGAGGAGTGAGTGAGTGAGTGAGGAGTGAGTGAGGAGTGAGTGAGTAGTGAGTGAGTGAGTGAGGAGTGAGTGAGGAGTGAGTGAGGAATGAGTGAGGAGTGAGTGAGGAGTGAGTGAGTGATTAGGTGGGTGAGTGAGGAGTGAGTGAGTGAGTGAGGAGTGAGTGAGGAGTGAGTGAGTAGTGAGTGAGTGAGTGAGGAGTGAGTGAGGAGTGAGTGAGTGAGGAGTGAGTGAGTGGGTGAGGAGTGAGTAGGTGGGTGAGTGAGTGAGTGGGTGAGTGATTAGGTGGATGAGTGAGGAGTGAGTGAGTGGGTGAGGAGTGAGTAGGTGGGTGAGTGAGGAGTGAGTGAGTGAGTGAGAAGTGAGTAGGTGGGTGAGTGAGGAGTGAGTGAGTGAGTGAGGAGTGAGTGGGGAGTGAGTGAGTGGGTGAGGAGTGAGTAGGTGGGTGAGTGAGGAGTGAGTGAGTGAGTGAGGAGTGAGTGAGTGAGTGAGGAGTGGGTGAGGAGTGAGTGAGTAGGTGGGTGAGTGAGGAGTGAGTGAGTGAGTGAGGAGTGAGTGAGTGAGGAGTGAGTGAGTGGGTGAGGAGTGAGTAGGTGGGTGAGTGAGTGAGTGGGTGAGTGATTAGGTGGGTGAGTGAGGAGTGAGTGAGTGGGTGAGGAGTGAGTAGGTGGGTGAGTGAGGAGTGAGTGAGTGAGTGAGGAGTGAGTAGGTGGGTGAGTGAGGAGTGAGTGAGTGAGTGAGGAGTGAGTGGGGAGTGAGTGAGTGGGTGAGGAGTGAGTAGGTGGGTGAGTGAGGAGTGAGTGAGTGAGTGAGGAGTGAGTGAGTGAGTGAGGAGTGAGTGAGGAGTGAGTGAGTAGTGAGTGAGTGAGTGAGGAGTGAGTGAGGAGTGAGTGAGTGAGGAGTGAGTGAGTGGGTGAGGAGTGAGTAGGTGGGTGAGTGAGTGAGTGGGTGAGTGATTAGGTGGGTGAGTGAGGAGTGAGTGAGTGGGTGAGGAGTGAGTAGGTGGGTGAGTGAGGAGTGAGTGAGTGAGTGAGGAGTGAGTAGGTGGGTGAGTGAGGAGTGAGTGAGTGAGTGAGGAGTGAGTGGGGAGTGAGTGAGTGGGTGAGGAGTGAGTAGGTGGGTGAGTGAGGAGTGAGTGAGTGAGTGAGGAGTGAGTGAAGTGAGTGAGGATGTGAGTGAGGAGTGAGTGAGTAGTTGAGTGAGTGGAGTGAGGACGTGAGTGAGGATGTGAGTGAGTGAAGGAGTGGAGTGAGTGGGTAGGGAGTGAGTAGGTGGGTGATGTGAGTGAGTGGGTGAGTGAGTAGGTGGGTGGAGTGAGGAGTGATGTGAGTGGGTGAGGAGTGAGTAGGTGGGTGAGTGAGGAGTGAGTGAGTGAGTGAGGAGTGGAGTAGGTGGGTGAGTGAGGAGTTAGTGAGTGAGTGATGTGAGGAGTGAAGTGGGGATGTGAGGTGAGGTGGGTGAGGATAGTGAGTAGGTGGGGAGTGAGGAAGTGAGTGAGGTGAGTGAGGAGGGAGTGAGTGAGTGAGGACGTGAGTGAGGAAGTGAGTGAGTAGTGGAGTGAGTGGAGGAGTGAGTGAGGAGTGACGTGAGTGAGGAGTGAGTGAGTGGGTGGTGAGGGTGAGTAGGTGGGTGAGTGAGTGAGTGGGTGAGTGATTAGGTGGGTGAGTGAGGAGTGAGTGAGTAGGTGAGGAGTGAGTAGGTGGGTGAGTGAGGAGTGAGTGAGTGAGTGAGGAGTGAGTAGGTGGGTGAGTGAGGAGTGAGTGAGTGAGTGAGGAGTGAGTGGGGAGTGAGTGAGTGGGTGAGGAGTGAGTAGGTGGGTGAGTGAGGAGTGAGTGAGTGAGTGAGGAGTGAGTGAGTGAGTGAGGAGTGAGTGAGTGAGTGAGGAGTGAGTGAGGAGTGAGTGAGTAGTGAGTGAGTGAGTGAGGAGTGAGTGAGGAGTGAGTGAGTGAGGAGTGAGTGAGTGGGTGAGGAGTGAGTAGGTGGGTGAGTGAGTGAGTGGGTGAGTGAGTAGGTGGGTGAGTGAGGAGTGAGTGAGTGAGTGAGGAGTGAGTAGGTGGGTGAGTGAGGAGTGAGTGAGTGAGTGAGGAGTGAGTAGGTGGGTGAGTGAGGAGTGAGTGAGTGAGTGAGGAGTGAGTGGGGAGTGAGTGAGTGGGTGAGGAGTGAGTAGGTGGGTGAGTGAGGAGGAGTGAGTGAGTGAGTGAGGAGTGAGTGAGTGAGTGAGGAGTGAGTGAGGAGTGAGTGAGTAGTGAGTGAGTGAGTGAGGAGTGAGTGAGGAGTGAGTGAGTGAGGAGTGAGTGAGTGGGTGAGGAGTGAGTAGGTGGGTGAGTGAGTGAGTGGGTGAGTGATTAGGTGGGTGAGTGAGGAGTGAGTGAGTGGGTGAGGAGTGAGTAGGTGGGTGAGTGAGGAGTGAGTGAGTGAGTGAGGAGTGAGTAGGTGGGTGAGTGAGGAGTGAGTGAGTGAGTGAGGAGTGAGTGGGGAGTGAGTGAGTGGGTGAGGAGTGAGTAGGTGGGTGAGTGAGGAGTGAGTGAGTGAGTGAGGAGTGAGTGAGTGAGTAGTGAGTGAGGAGTGAGTGAGTAGTGAGTGAGTGAGTGAGGAGTGAGTGAGGAGTGAGTGAGTGAGGAGTGAGTGAGTGGGTGAGGAGTGAGTAGGTGGGTGAGTGAGTGAGTGGGTGAGTGATTAGGTGGGTGAGTGAGGAGTGAGTGAGTGGGTGAGGAGTGAGTAGGTGGGTGAGTGAGGAGTGGGTGAGTGAGTGAGGAGTGAGTAGGTGGGTGAGTGAGGAGTGAGTGAGTGAGTGAGGAGTGAGTGGGGAGTGAGTGAGTGGGTGAGGAGTGAGTAGGTGGGTGAGTGAGGAGTGAGTGAGGAGTGAGTGGGGAGTGAGTGAGTGAGTGAGGAGTGAGTGAGGAGTGGGTGAGGAGTGAGTGGGGAGTGAGTGAGTGAGGAGTGGGTGAGGAGTGAGTGAGTGAGGAGTGAGGAGTGAGTGAGGAGTGGGTGAGGAGTGAGTGAGGAGTGGGTGAGTAAGGAGTGAGTGAGTGAGGAGTGAGTGAGGCGTGAGTGAGTGAGTGAATGAGTGAGGAGTGGGTGAGGAGTGAGTGAGGAGTGAGTGAGTGGGTGAGTGAGTGAGGAGTGAGTGAGTGAGGAGTGAGTGAGGAGTGAGTGAGTGAGGAGTGAGTGAGGAGTGAGTGAGGAGTGAGTGAGTGAGGAGTGAGTGAGGAGTGAGTGAGTGAGTGAGGAGTGAGTGAGTGAGTGAGGAGTGAGTGAGGAGTGAGTGAGTGAGTGAGGAGTGAGTGAGTGAGTGAGGAGTGAGTGAGTGAGTGAGTGAGGAGTGAGTGAGTGAGTGAGGAGTGAGTGAGGAGTGAGTGAGTGAGTAGTAAGTGAGTGAGTGAGGAGTGAGTGAGGAGTGAGTGAGTGAGTGAGGAGTGAGTGAGTGGGTGAGGAGTGAGTGGGTGAGGAGTGAGTGAGGAGTGAGTGAGTGGGTGAGTGAGTGAGGAGTGAGTGAGTGAGTAGTGAGTGAGGAGTGAGTGAGTGAGGAGTGAGTGAGGAGTGAGTGAGGAGTGAGTGAGTGAGGAGTGAGTGAGGAGTGAGTGAGTGAGGAGTGAGTGAGTGAGTGAGGAGTGAGTGAGTGAGGAGTGAGTAGTGAGTGAGTCAGTGAGTAGTGAGTGAGTCAGTGAGGAGTGAGTGAGTGAGTGAGGAGTGAGTGAGTGAGGAGTGAGTGAATGAGTGAGGAGTGAGTGAGTGAGTGAGGAGTGGGTGAGGAGTGAGTGAGGAGTGAGTGAGGAGTGAGAGATTCAGGGGAGAGATTCGGAAGGAGAGGGAGGGGAGAGCTGGGACAGAATAGAGTGGGAGCGGAGGGAGAGAAGGGGGCCGTCCATAAATGACGTCACGCACCCTGGGGGGGGGGGGGGGGGTTAAAAATGTGACGTCACATTCTAAATATAGAATTTGTTATAACAACACTGATTGTTATAACAACACTCCTACAACATCAGAGTGCAGAGCTTTGTGACGTCATATTTGAGGGGGGTCTGACTTTTTGTGACGCCGTGTGACGAAGGGGGGGGGGAGGTCAAAAATCGTCCAAAATCGCGTGACGTCATTTATGGACGGTCCCAAGGGAGCGGGAGGCGTACTGACCAGTAGCTGAGGGAGTACTGCACGCCAGGCGGGGCCTGGTGGCCCGGCCGCCAGGTGCAGACCACGTGGTCGGAGTAGAATGGTTGCACACAGAGCACGTCACGAGCCTCGCTCCCAGGGATGCCTGGACACAGCGGGGGACACGTGGTGGGGGTGCACAGGGACACGTGGTGAGGGACACGTGGTGAGGGTGCACAGGGACACGTGGTGAGGGTGCACAGGGACACGTGGTGAGGGTGCACAGGGACACGTGGTGAGGGACACAGGGACACGTGGTGAGGGTGCACAGGGACACGTGGTGAGGGACACGTGGTGAGGGACACAGGGACACGTGGTGGGGGTGCACAGGGACACGTGGTGAGGGACACGTGGTGGGGGTGCACAGGGACACGTGGTGAGGGACACAGGGACACGTGGTGAGGGTGCACAGGGACACGTGGTGGGGGTGCACAGGGACACGTGGTGAGGGACACAGGGACACGTGGTGAGGGTGCACAGGGACACGTGGTGAGGGACACAGGGACACGTGGTGAGGGACACAGGGACACGTGGTGAGGGACACAGGGACACGTGGTGGTGGTGCACAGGGACACGTGGTGAGGGACACGTGGTGAGGGACACAGGGACACGTGGTGGGGGTGCACAGGGACACGTGGTGGGGGTGCACAGGGACACGTGGTGGGGGTGCACAGGGACACGTGGTGAGAGTGCACAGGGACACGTGGTGAGGGTGCACAGGGACACGTGGTGGGGGTGCACAGGGACACGTGGTGGGGGTGCACAGGGACACGTGGTGGGGGTGCACAGGGACACGTGGTGGGGGTGCACAGGGACACGTGGTGGGGGTGCACAGGGACACGTGGTGGTAGTACACAGGGACACGTGGTGATTTTTTGTTGTTTTATTTTTTACCTTACGTGACTTTACCGAATAGAACCAAAGAGTATGGATCATTGCAGTCACGAAAGCTTCAAATCTAGAATTGAAAACTTGACCCCACCAGGGTAACTACATAACCGGTGCAGTCAGCAACGTCCCGGCCCGACCCACGATGTCGAGCGGAGACCGAAGATCGGGGGAGACGCAGCGCCGAGGGTTGATCCCCGATAACCGCCGCCGCGTCCGGGGGCTCGGGACTCGGCACTTTCACGGGCCGGGCTCCGCCCCTTGGCCACGCCCCCTTTCCAGATCCTTCCCGAAGACTCTGGGCCCCTACATCACGTGTCCCTCTCTCCCCCGTTTGGACCCCCGCCCCCCACCCTTGCCACCTCGTCCGGTCACGTGCCCTCTCGGGGTGCACCCAGACGGTGGCCTAGCACATTTACGTCGCTACATCTGCACTAGATGGAAATTCCTCGATCGTAAAGACAAAGATCCACCACGCCCCCCCCCCCGCCCCCTCCCCACATACCCTACCCAGGCTGCAGGCGCAGTGCACCAGCGGGCGCTGTGCTCGGCACCGCGCCCGACCGCCTTTGTATCCCCCACTGCTGAAACGCATTCGAGGCCGAGTCGACCTGGGGGCGGTTTCAGATCGGTGTCCCGTGCGAGCGGGGAATCCAACTCGGGTCGCCAGGGAAAGGGGATGGTGGGGGGCTAGGGGGGGGCTAGGGGGGGGGTACGGGGGGGGGTCAGAGCCGTTATGTGAAAGGGGTTGGGGGGGGGGGCTCACTCACCTGGGGGTTCCCACGTGACCACCTGACACCTGGGGTCTCTCTTGGGGGTCCATGCCGCCTCAACTTCGCTTGCTTCGTCATCGTCGTCGTCATCATCGTCGTCGTTGTTGTCGGAGTGGCACATGACGGGTCTCTCTACGTCACACTCCATCTGTCCGCACTCGGAACTCAGCTCCTCCTCCTCCTCCTCCACCTCCTCCTCCTCATCCTCCTCCTCCACCTCCTCCTCCACCTCCTCCTCCACCTCCTCCACCTCCTCCTCACCGTCACCGTCATCACGTCTGTTGAGGCAGACTGCGGCCGTGGTTCTTCGGCCGGGCAGGAACGTGAGGAGCGCTTCACCGCAGCAGAGGGTGTACCCCTGGTGGGCGGGGTGGACAATGGGTGGACAGCGGGTGGACAATGGGAGGACAGTGAGTGGACAATGGGAGGACAACGGGCGGACGAGTGAACAATGGGTGGACAGTGGGTGGACAATGGGAGGACAGTGAGTGGTCAATAGGTGGACAATGAGTCAACTATGCGTGGACAACAGGTGGACAATGGGTGGACAATGAGTGGAGGAGTGAACAGTGGGTGGACAATGGGTGGACAATGAGTGGAGGAGTGAACAGTGGGTGGACAATGGGTGGACAATGGGACGTAACCAGAGTCGTAGTGAGATGTGCGTCAACCACCACCATCACCACCACCACACAATGACATGACAAGTTCACTGATTGGCCGATGGAATCTGAATAATATAAATAGAGGACAGCAGAGCTTGGACCTTGTCGGTAGCGGTGGAACCTCACCGCCACGCTGCTGCTGCTGCCTTCGTCTGTGACTCCACCTCCTGCCCCCCCTTAGTCGTCCTTTCTCTCTCTCTGAGTCGTCCTCTCTCTCTCTGAGTCGCCCTCTCTCTCTCTCCGAGTCGTCCTCTCTCTCTCTGAGTCGTCCTCTCTCTCTGAGTCGTCCTCTCTCTCTGAGTCGTCCTCTCTCTGAGTCGTCCTCTCTCTCTGAGTCGTCCTCTCTCTCTCTGAGTCGTCCTCTCTCTCTCTGAGTCGTCCTCTCTCTCTCTGAGTCGTCCTCTCTCCGAGCCGTCCTGTCTCTCTCCGAGTCGTCCTCTCTCTCTCTCCGAGTCGTCCTCTCTCTCTCTGAGTCGTCCTCTCTCTGAGTCGTCCTCTCTCTGAGTCGTCCTCTCTCTGAGTCGTCCACTCTCTCTCTGAGTCGTCCTCTCTCTCTGAGTCGTCCTCTCTCTCTCTGAGTCGTCCTCTCTCTCTCTGAGTCGTCCTCTCTCTCTCTGAGTCGCCCTCTCTCTCTCTCTCCGAGTCGTCCTCTCTCTCTCTGAGTCGTCCTCTCTCTTAGTCGTCCTCTCTCTGAGTCGTCCTCTCTCTCTCTGAGTCGTCCTCTCTCTCTCTGAGTCGTCCTCTCTCTCTGAGTCGTCCTCTCTCTCTCTGAGTCGTCCTCTCTCCGAGCCGTCCTCTCTCTCTCTCCAAGTCGTCCTCTCTCTCTCTCCGAGTCGTCCTCTCTCTCTCTGAGTCGTCCTCTCTCTGAGTCGTCCTCTCTCTGAGTCGTCCTCTCTCTGAGTCGTCCACTCTCTCTGAGTCGTCCTCTCTCTCTGAGTCGTCCTCTCTCTCTCTCTGAGTCGTCCTCTCTCTCTTTGAGTCGTCCTCTCTCTCTCTGAGTCGCCCTCTCTCTCTCCGAGTCGTCCTCTCTCTCTCTGAGTCGTCCTCTCTCTGAGTCGTCCTCTCTCTGAGTCGTCCTCTCTCTCTCTGAGTCGTCCTCTCTCTCTCTGAGTCGTCCTCTCTCTCTCTCTGAGTCGTCCTCTCTCTCTCTGAGTCGTCCTCTCTCCGAGCCGTCCTCTCTCTCTCCGAGTCGTCCTCTCTCTCTCTGAGTCGTCCTCTCTGAGTTGTTCTCCTCTATCTGAGTCGTCCTCTCTCTCTGAGTCGTCCTCTCTCTCTCTGAGTCGTCCCTTTTCCCTCTCTCTCTCTGAGTCGTCCTCTCTCTCTCCGAGTCGTCTTCTCTCTCTCCGAGTCGTCCTCTCTCTCTCCGAGTCGTCCTCTCTCTCTCTGAGTCGTCCTCTCTCTCTCCGAGTCGTCCTCTCTCTCTCTGAGTCGTCCTCTCTCTCTCTCCGAGTCGTCCTCTCTCTCGCTGAGTCGTCCTCTCTCTCTCTGAGTCGTCCTCTCTCTCTCCGAGTCGTCCTCTCTCTCTCTGAGTCGTCCTCTCTCTCTCTGAGTCGTCCTCTCTCTCTGAGTTGTCCTCTCTCCGAGTCGTCCTCTCTCTCTCCGAGTCGTCCTCTCTCTCTGTCTGTCCGAGTCGTCCCCTCTCTCTCTGTCTCTCTCTCCCCGTGAGCGAGCGACTACTGTGCCGTCGCTATGGATGACTCCACTGAAATCAGTGGAATCATCATCGGCCCAGCACTGCGCCATAGGCAAGTGCCATTCCCCACACAGCTGTGAGTACTCACCCGGGCAACACAAAGACAAAGGTCCCCCGTGTAGCCCACGCAGGCTGCTGGGGCAAGTGCGGCTAAGCGAGGAGCGTCTACGGAGGCTGGTGTGGGCAGGCCCAGGCCGCGGCCGCCTTTGTATCCCCAGTGCCGATGTTTATACTAAAGAAACCACACCGGGGCACTGTACTGATGTGAGTCTGAGTCCACGTCGAGTGCTCACGTTCCACTGGCCGTGTTCGTCGCGAGCGTAGATGCTGTAGTTGGCGTTGCGCGCCTGAGGATGCCAACGCAACATCACCGTGTCGTGGTTCTCAGCGTGTCCCAGACTCAGGTTCACTCCTACGGACACATCATCATCATCACCATCATCATCATCATCACCGACATCATCATCAACATCACCATCACCCCCAACATCACCGTGGTGTGGTTCTCAGCGTGTCCCAGACTCAGGTTCACTCCTACGGACACATCATCATCATCATCACCGACATCATCATCAACATCACCATCACCCCCAACATCATCACCAACATCACCGTGTCGTGGTTCTCAGCGTGTCCCAGACTCAGGTTCACTCCTACGGACACATCATCATCATCACCATCATCATCATCATCACCGACATCATCATCAACATCACCATCACCGACAACATCATCACCAACATCACAGTATCGTGGTTCTCAACGTGTCCCAGACTCAGGTTCACTCCTACGGACACATCATCATCATCACCATCATCATCATCACCGACATCATCATCAACATCACCCCCAACATCATCACCAACATCATCACCAACATCATCACCAACATCACCGTGTCGTGGTTCTCAACGTGTGCCAGACTCAGGTTCACTCCTACGGACACATCATCATCATCATCACCGACATCATCATCAACATCACCATCATCATCATCATCACCGACATCATCATCAACATCACCCCCAACATCATCACCAACATCACAGTGTCGTGGTTTTCAACGTGTCCCAGACTCAGGTTCGCTCCTACGGACACATCATCATCATCATCATCACCGACATCACCGACATCATCATCATCACCGACATCATCATCATCATCACCGACATCATTATCCACATCACCATCACCCCCAACATCACTGTGGTGTGGTTCTCAGCGTGTCCCAGACTCAGGTTCGCTCCTACGGACACATCATCATCACCGACATCACCATCATCACCGATATCATCATCAACATCACCATCAGCAGCAACATCATCACCGTGTTCCAGACTCAAGTTCGCTCCTATGGAGACATCACTATCAACATCATCATCAACATCGCCAACAGCACCACCATCTCAACATCAATACCAGATCCTTGACATTACGGCCATCTGAACATCATCACCATCTCATAATCGTCACCATCTCAATGCAATTTTAACAACATTATTGTGATCAGCATCAGCATCACTACCATCTTAACAACATCACCAATCTCATCATCTCAACATCATCATCACCAACTCACTCACTTGCCCCTCCCTCTCTCTGTGTTGTGAAATGCAATCATGTGTCTGTGTGGCTGTGTGTCTGTTTCTCTGTGTGGTTGTGTGTCTGTGTGTCTGTGTGGTTGTGTGTCTGTGTGTCTGTGTGGTTGTGTGTCTGTGTGGGTGTGTGTCTGTTTCTCTGTGTGGTTGTGTGTCTGTGTGTATGTGTGGTTGTGTGTCTGTGTGTCTGTGACTCTGTGTGGCTGTGTGTCTGTTTCTCTGTGTGGTTGTGTGTCTGTGTGTCTGTGTTTCTGTGTGGTTGTGTGTCTGTGTGTCTGTGTGGCTGTGGGGTTGTGTGGCTGTGTGTCTGTGTGTCTGTGTGGTTGTGTGTCTGTGTGTCTGTGTTTCTGTGTGGTTGTGTGTCTGTGTGTCTGTGTGGTTGTGCGTCTGCGTGTCTGTGCGTCTGTGTGTCTGTGCATCTGTGCGTCTGTGTGTCTGCGTGTCTGTGTGTCTGTGTGTCTGTGTGGTTGTGTGTCTGTGTCTCTGTGTGGTTGTGTGTCTGTGTGTCTGTGTGTCTGTGTGGTTGTGTGTCTGTGTGGCTATGTGTCTGTGTGGTTGTGTGGTTGTGCGTCTGCGTCTCTGTGTGTCTGCGTGTCTGCGTGTCTGTGTCTCTGTGTGGTTGTGTGTCTGTGTGTCTGTGTGGTTGTGTGTCTGTGTGGTTGTGTGTCTGTGCGTCTGTGTGTCTGTGCGTCTGTGTGTCTTTGTGTCTGTGTAGTTGTGTGTCTGTGTGTCTGTGTGGGTGTGCGTCTGTGTGTCTGTGTGGTTGTGCGTCTGTGTGGTTGTGTGTCTGTGTGTCTGTGTGGTTGTGCGTCTGTGTCTGTGTGGTTGTGCGTCTGTGCGTCTGTGTGTCTGTGTGGTTGTGTGTCTGTGTGGTTGTGCGTCTGTGTGTCTGTGTGTCTGTGTGGTTGTATGTCTGTGTGTCTGTGTGTCTGCGTGTCTGTGTGTCTGTGTGGTTGTGGGGCTGTGTGTCTGTGTGTCTGTGTGGTTGTGTGTCTGTGTGTCTGTGCGTCTGCGCGTCTGTGTGGCTGTGTGTCTGTGTGTCTGTGTGGTTGTGTGGCTGTGTGGTTGTGTGTCTGTGTGTCTGCGTGTCTGTGTGTTTGTGTGTCTGTGTGGTTGTGTGGTTGTGTGGCTGTGTGTCTGTGTGTCTGTGTGGTTGTGTGTCTGTGCGTTTGTGTGTCTGTGTGGTTGTGCATCTGTGCGTCTGTGTGTCTGTGTGTCTGTGCGTCTGCGCGTCT